TACATTTCCATTTTTGGAGTTAGAGAAGGATCTACAAGGCCAATAAAAAGTTGTGGGACTAGGTGTCTTGCACTATATAAAAAGGTTGATTTCACAATCCTCCGAACAACTTATATAAAAGATCAGTGTAAATAAATATTTTTAAAATCTCATTTACATTTATAAAATCCTTATAATTATGAATACTGAAGGATCATCTAGTAAAGGTGGAAGCAGGACAGGAAGAAAATTGGTCGCTCTTACTAATATTAAAAAAAAGGAATTATGTGAATATAAAATTGCTAATCCAACTAAAACAAATGAACAAATTAGAAATGAATTTGGAATTAGTAAATCAACAGTAGGGGATATTCTTAGGGAAAAAGTTAGATGGCTTGCAATTAATGCAGATTCAGACACCATTAAAAAAAGAGAACGTTAAAGGTGAATGGCCACAATTAGAAAATGCATTGACAATTTGGATTGATCATGCAAATAGAGCAAATCATACAATAAATGGTGCTATTATTTGTCAAAAGGCAATAGATTATGCTAGAAAACTTGATATTAATGGATTTCAGCATCACAAGAAAGTATTATTAATTTTGTCTTCTTTATGAAAAATCTGCACATAATAATTATTCATCTATTATACTATTTAATTAATAGGGATGGTTGTTTAATTTTAAGAAAAGAAAATATAAAGGAACATTATAAATCAGGCGAGGCAGCAAGTGCACCAATTGATGATTTGCCAACATTTAGAATTGAATTGAAGTCTTTAATTGCACAATATGATTTAAGTGATGTTTATAATGCTGATGAGACTGCCCTTTATTGGAAATTAGAAGCAAATAAACTCTTTCTCATGGCCCTATCATTGGTACAAAGAAACCTAAAAACAGAGTTACAATAATGCTTGCATGTAATGCAAATGGTACTCAAAGATTACCAGCTGTTTTTATTCAAAAATATAAAAATTCAAAATGTATTCATAATGTTGACAAAAAAACATTACCAGTGTGGTATTATTGGAATAATGCATCTTGGATGCAATGTTCAATGTTCCACTCATGGATTAAACAAGTTAATGAAAAAATGCAAAGACAAAGAAGAAATATTTTTTCCATCCAGGCTACAAATAATTTAATACAACATCATCAGTTCCACTCTTCTAGATCAGCAAATACAGTTTTTAATAACAATAACAATTGATAAATTAAAATAATAATCTTGTGGAGTAAGTTTTCAGTTCATCAATATGATTTGCTGTTTTGTTATTTTGATTAATATGTTGATTTTTCCATGTGATTTATTAAAGAATATAAATGATAATTTGAAATAACAAATCTTTAACATCTAACTTTGCACAAAACGAAAACTCATAAAATGATGCTTATGTAAGATCCATGAGTTTATTTTAGGGGAGAGAGATATTATTAAAAGTACAAAAATGAGAATAATATAATAAAGAAAAACTCTTTGTTTTTGGATTAAATGAAAAAGGCCATCATTATATACAACAATTTATCATTATATCATAAATTATATACTAAATAAATAATTAATCTAATAATTACAAGACAAAATGTATATTATTTTTATTCCAGGGTTCTTTTCAAATCACTCCATTTTTGTTTCAATGTTTCTCTTTCATTTTTGCTCTCTGCATATCTTACCTTAAGTTCTATTTAACATGTTTTCTAAATTTCAAGTTGATTTTCCAATAAGTTATTCTTTTCTATCAAATCAATATTCCTTTTAATTAAATCATCCATCTGACCTTGCAATTTACTTTCAATTTCTTTAGACTGAGTTTCCAAACCTCTATGTAGGTTTATAATCATCTGAGAAAGATCTTCATTTTCATCTTTGCATTGTGCAAGTTCCATTTTAGTACTGATAAAATTATTGGCTAGTTCAACATGTTCATTATCAAGGGTTTGCAAACTGCTTTCAAGATTTTTTATCTTATTGGACAAATGAATATTATTGGCTTGCATTCTCTCGACTGTTCCTGCATCTGCTATTAATCTTCTTTTCTCATTTTCCTGATGTGCATAATATGCTTGTTGATGTTTTTTAAGTGTCTTGGCTGTAATTCGAATATCATATGCATCTTTAACAAATTCATTAGTTCTATATTGTGCTTCAGTTATCAATTGTGACAATACACCAGTAGGAGTAACCTGCAAAATATAATATGATGAATACAATGAGTGTTATCACGACTAGGATTATCATAAGAAATTGAAATTGTATATAAGCCTGATAACTTTCAAATAATCTACTTTTCAAAAATTCCAAAAGAGGTTCAAAATTTAATTTAATAATTATTTTTTCATTTTTTTTTCAATGCTGAATGATTATGACTGATGGAGGTAATGTAGTTAGTTAAAAAAAAAAAAAAGAATTTCTTTGATATTAAACAGTTATAAATAACAATACCATCAAAATTTTCTTCAACAAAACAAGTCAAAGTGAAAAAAAATGGCAACGGAAGAAAAATATCAATAACGAAAAAGTTATTTCGTCATCAGTATCACCGTCATTCTTAGTATTTGTTCAAGAAATTGAGCTAGAAGGGCCTAGAAAATTGTCTTCGCAAGTGTCAGCAGACCAATTATCCAATCATCGAGAACTAAATAATAATAACAACAACAACAACAACAACAACGTTTGTGTTAATATTGGATTAACGGACGAGTTTATGATTAATATTAAAGATTTCTTCAACGGTACATTACAAAACATAACGAGTTTACATGAAGAAGACAATGAAGACGATTTCGAAGAACAAAATATAAATAACGAGACTATGTATCAATATTATTGTAGCGACTCCGCCACATTTTCCGATGACTTATTTTGATGTATGTCTCAACTTTCATATTTATTTCTTTTTTAAAAAAAAAATGTATATAAAATAAAAAGTATTATTATTATTATTATTATTATTATTATTATTATTATTATTATTAATATCGTTGTTGGGGTTATATGTTAGTCGTTGTTGGGGTTACATGTAATTATTATTTTTATTATTTTCATGATACAAATTTGTGTGTGTATTGTAATTGGTGATAATAATAAATAAACAAAAGCATAATATATAACTGTCATTATACCATTTCCATATGTTTATATTGTTTTTCCGTATTTTAATTCGAATTATTAATATTAATTTATTCCTTTAACATGCACGATACGACTCCCAAAATTATATAACCTTTTGCATGCTTTTATTTAATATTTATATAAATTGTTTCTTCTCTCCTAATAAAAGGGTTGATAATTAAATAAGGCCATTGCCAATATTCAGTCAATCTTAATGTTGACAATAATGTTCAGACGATATTTATAAAAAAAAGTGTCACATTCTAACAGGACCCGGAAACTTCCAATTGAGGTCCCAATCAATTTTCATGATTTTTATATTAAGTTTACCTAAGTGCTTATGTAATACTGTTAATATTGGCATTAATAACATTTTTTTTAACACTATTGAATTTACACATTTTATATCATGGACTTTTTAAAAAATTTCTTTTTTTAAAAAAAAAAGGAATTTAGTTTTTGCGTTTTTGCGTGTAACTGTTGAAATTAAAAATTTTGGGGTGGGTGTTTGGATATGAAATTCACATGATTTCATTTTCATGTATAACATAACCACAATTTTACCTTCTAATTTACCAATAATAATTCTGTCCTGTTTTTCTATATTATTAATTATGTACGTATTTGCATTCTGGTTATTTTATGTAGGTGCTGTATATATATTAATAAATTAAATAATCTATTATTGTAAAACCTCGGTTCAACAGTCAAGCTGGCAATTTATGAACCAAATCGTCCCAATGAAAAGAAAAGAAAATGGTTGATGATATCATAAAAAACACACATGCCAGGAAAATTGGGCAATAGTAAATTAAAACTTGGACTCTTTACACCTGCCAATCAAACTACATGTTCGTTTCTGACTAATTTTTTTGTTGTTTTAAATTAGATACGTTGAATGAAAAACTTGTGTTAAACTTTGGTATCTTTGATACCCAATTTATGGTATTCCTCATCTCTTTTCTTTGAATATTGATCTTCATAACATTCAAGACATACATCTTCCATGTTGTATTCCATTACAAAGATATATTCTTTTGTAGCTGGATCTTGTGTTAATCCATAAATTTTATTTATAAATGATTCACCATAAAATGTAACATAATTTCTAAACTATATAAAAATAATATGTTGAATTTCAGAACAACATTTAAAAGCCTGAAATAAATAGAAAAACAAAATAATTTACCTCATTAAGAAATTCATCAAAAACATTCTGTGAATTATGTATTTTTTTAATGCCACAGTCATATCTTCACTAGTTTCTTTTTTTAATTACATAATTTACACTTTTCTCATCATTTAACCAAGTAGCTTTGGATATAGTTGCAAACCCACCTTCACCTATCTCTTCAATATTTGTTAAATAATTATAAGGAATCCATTGAAGATGATTACTATAATGATACTTGGTTGTTTTAAGTTGTGTGCTTTTAATCAGCTCATCTAATGTTTCATTGCCCCTAGTCCATCCTTCAGTTAATAACTTTGGATCACATGTTTGACACCACAAATAATCAGTATAGGACCTCGGACAATTATAATCAAACTGGTATTGAGAAAAGTGGGTAGTGATCTCGTTAAAACACCAGTCAGATCTTCAAGCATTTACATAATAAAATTGGGTATTTAAAAAAAATAGCCCAAAAAGGAGACACTCTAGCTATTTTTAGTAAGATATTCGGAGTATTTTTCACAATGTTTTCTTACATACCAGTTCAAATATGATTGTCCGAGGTCCTATCAGTATTATATCTATTGCATGTTAAACATTCCCCATATTTTTCTTTTCTTTTATCAGAATATTCATCATTTTTGTCAGTAGAAGTATCATAATGATGTTTATTTTCATCCAAAGTGTTCTCCATCATGGTTTTTGTATAAATTGTCAAAAAAAAATTTTTTTTCAGCCATAAATATGTATCACACAAAATATATTAATATTAATTTAAAAAAAATTAAATTAACTGAACTACAACAATTCAGCACTGTAATAAATATTGCAAGCGTGTGATCCGAGTTATTGGAGTCACCAATTATGGCAAACTAAATTAAAATCACTATATACAACTACACTGATTAGGGTTTCTATTTGAATAAGGTTTATTCGAATTATTTGTTTTACTTGTTATTATTATGAATTGAGTATTCGAATTAAATTGGAAGTTTATTCAAATAAAATGAATAACGAATAATTCGATAATTCAAGTAGACAATTCAAATAAAACAAATAAACAATTTGAATAAAATGGATAAACGAACGATTCAAATAAATGAATGGTTCGAATAGTTCAAGTAAAACAAGTAATTTGAATAAAATGAATAATTCAAAAAAAAATGAATAATTCAAAATAAAACAAGTAATTCAAAATAAATGAACAATTCAAAATAAAACGGATAAAAATGAATATTTGAATAAAATAAAAACGAATAATTCGAAATAATAATATTAATTAATAATATTTTTTTAGACTGTTTTGGTGTAAAAGATTCAATCTTCTGTATTCAGTCACAACATCTTTATTCACCTTTAAGCAATCAAAATCAAATGAAAGGATGTCCAACTGGTCCCAATAAGGAGCCCTGCTCATCTCCACATAGAACTGAACTGGGGGAAACATATTTTCATCAATCGTTAGAGTCACATGTGGCAATGCCATGCCTTGAGTCTTGTGTGTTATCAAGGCAAATGCATTCTGCAATGGGAATTGAACCTCGAGGTATGTGTACTGTTTATTTCAAAATTCATAGTGATTTTTTGAACGCTCATTTTAGTAATTTTACCATTAGTTGGAAAAGTAATTTCTACATTATCATCATCTATAACTTTGGTGGTCACACCTACCGTTCTATTGCAGATGCCGTGTTCAGACAGCTTACCAATGAACTCATGCTTTAATACTTTAATAGAAGTTCTCGTTATCATATAAAATTATCTGTATCAAAAAAAATTATTAATCATAAATTTTAGCCATAATTTAAAAGATATCGTTTATTGTTAAAAAAATAGATTTTGTTTGATAATTATAAATAAAATAATAACAATATTCAAATAACTTTAGTTGCGCAGTGAGACACTACGTAACAATTTAAAAACCGTTTTTCAGATTTTGACGTAATTTTTTTATTTTACCCAATAAAAAGTAATAATTTTGGTCGCGCAGCTGTGTAAATAATTTTTATTTTACAACTAGATAATAAAGGAAATGAAAGAGTGATTGCATATGCTAGTAGACAACTAAGACCAGTAGAGAAGAACTATGCAGCAACAGAATTAGAATGCCTCGGCATTATATGGGCTATAAAACATTTTCATACATACCTTAGTGGATCCAAGTTTAAATTAATTATAGATCATGCAGCATTGAAGTATTTAAACAATATGAAGGAACCAAAAGGAAAATTGGCTTGTTGGATTATGACATTACAGTCATACAATTTTGAAGTAGAACGTAGATCAGGAAAGAAGCATCAGAATGTAGATGCAATGTCTAGAATAAAAACGGGATACTGGGATTGATTTAATTAAAACATTTTAATTAATTAGTATTATTTATATATATACACGTAACATACAGTTTTTTTTTTCTTTTCTCATATATTATTTTTATCATTTATATTATTTATTTAATTATTACTTAACTTTCTTGCGGACATGATGACTTGGTGGATGATCGTGCTGGTGATGCATGGATTTGGTTAGAGTGCATTACACTTTTTACACTTTGTACATTTTTTACACTTTACACTTTTATAAATTAGTATTATACTGTCTTTATTTATTATTTAAGATTTAATCTTTCCAGAATCATCTACAGATGAAGAACAAAGGAAAATAAGAAGTCAATCAAGATATTTTCTTGTCAGAGAAGGTATCCTATACAAAAAGAATAGGAAGAGCCCTCAAAGACCCACCCTTTCGGATGGTGAAATCAAATGAGGTAGAAAACATTTTACACAACTTACATGCTGATTCGTTGGCTAGACACTTTGGAATTGAAGCAACCTATCACAGGATTGCTGAAAGATTTTACTTTGCCTGTATTGCAGGAGCTCAATTTAGAAGGAGTGATGTTATCAGAATTAGATTTGGACACTCTTTTGGCCATCTACCTTTGTAATACATTTTATTTTTAATTTTTATTTGTTAATTATTTGTATATCGTTGTAATTTATTTAACTTTATTAAGGAAGAATTGTCTTTCCATTATTTCAATTTTGAAATATTAGAATTACTAATTAATTGAATTGTATATAAGGAGCTTGAATTCAATGTACTTGTAAATTAACTTTCTCATAAGTTAATTAGTTTCAATTAAGAAAACTAAATAAACAAAATAAATATTTTATTAAAACTATTATCTTCTTTAAACAAAATTATTCACTAATAACAAAATCAATTCATTAATCCCTATTCATTCTGATCCACACAAAACAAAAATAATTGTTATCACCAATTAAAAATATGCTCTCCTAAAATTTAATTGGTGACAGTAGCACATATCACATTATTTGTACTGCCCCAAGAGGTATAAATACACTTGGCTTTAGACCAAGTTAATAATCATCATTAATTAATCAATTGTTAATATTGTTGATAACAACCTTGATAACAACAACATAATAATAACTCTTAATAAATATATAACTTTACATAAAATAGTCTTTGACTGTAAGTA